GCTTTTGACAAAATTCAACACGCATTTATGATAAAAACTCTCCAGAAAGTGGCACAGAGGGAACCTAATTCAACATAATAAATGCTATATACAACAAACCCACAGCAAACATCATTCTCAATGGTGAAAAACTGAAATCATTTCCTCTAAGATTAGGAACAAGACAAGGATGTCCACTCTCACCATTATTATTCAACATAGTTTTGGAATTCCTAGCCATGGCAATGAGAGAAGAAAAAGAAATGAAAGGAACACAAATTGGAAAAGAAGAAGTAAAACTGTCACTGTTTGCACATGACATGATACTATGTATAGAGAATCCTAAAGATGCCACCAGAAAACTACTAGAGCTAATCAATTAATTTGGTAAAGTTGCAGGATACAAAATTAATGCACAGAAATTTCTTGCATTCCTATACATTAATGATGAAAAATCTGAAAGAGAAATTAAGGAAACACTTCTATTTATCATAGCAACAAAAATAATAAACTACCTTGGAATAAACCTACCTAGGGAGACAAAAGACCTGTATGCAGAAAACTATAAGACACTGATGAAAGAAATGAAAGATGATAGCAACAGATGGAGAGATATACCATGTTCTTGGATTGGAAGAATCAATATTTTGAAAATGACTATACTACCCAAAGCAATCTACAGATTCAATGCAATCCCTATCGAATTACCAATGGCATTTTTTATGGAACTAGGACAAAAAAATCTTAAAATTTGTATGGAGACACAGAAGACCCCAAATAGCTAAAACAGTCTTGAGGGAAAAAAACGGAGCTGGAGGAGTCAGACTCCCTGACTTCAGACTATACTACAAAGCTACAGTAATCAAGACAATATGGTACTGGCACAAAAACAGAAACACAGATCAATGGAAAAAGATAGAGAGCCCAGAGATAAACCCATGCACCTATGGTCAACTAATCTATGACAAAGGTGCCAAGGATATACAATGGAGAAAAGACAGTCTCTTCAATAAGTGGTGCTGGGAAAACTGGACAGCTACATGTAAAAGAATGAAATTAGAACAATCCCTAACACAATACACAAAAATAAACTCAAAATGGATTAGAGACCTAAATGTAAGACCAGACACTATAAAACTCTTAGAGGAAAACATAGGAAGAACACTCTCTGACATAAATCACAGCAAGATATTTTCTGATCCACCTCCTACAGTAATGAAAGTAAAAACAAAAATAAACAAATGGGACCTAATAGAACTTCAAAGCTTTTGCACAGAAAAGGAAACAATAAGATGAAAAGAGAACCCTCAGAATGGGAGAAAATATTTGCAAACAAATGAACGGACAAAAGATTAATCTCCAAAATATATAAACAGCTCATGCAGCTCGATATTAAAAAAACAAAAACCTAATCCAAAACTGGGCAGAAGACCTAAATAGATATTTTTCCAAAGAAGACATACAGATGGCCAAGAAGCACATGAAAAGCTGCTCAACATCACTAATTATTAGAGAAATGCAAATCAAAACTACAATAAGGTATCACCTCACACTGGTCAGAATGGCCACCATCAAAATCTACAAACAGTAAATGCTGGAGAGGGTGTGGAGAAAAGGGAACCCTCTTGCACTGTTGGTGGGAATGTAAATTGATACAGCCACTATGGAGAACAGTATGGAGGTTCCTTAAAAAACTAAAAATAGAATTACCATATGATCCAGCAATCCCACTACTGGGCATATACCCAGAGAAAACCATAATTCAAAAAGACACATACACCCTAATGTTCATTGCAGCACTATTTACAATAGCCAGGTCATGGAAGCAACCTAAATGCACATTGACAGATGAATGGATAAAGAAGATGTGGTACATATATACAATGGAATATTACACAGCCATAAAAAGGAACGAAATCGGGTGATTTGTTGAGAATTGGATGGATCTAAAGACTGTTATACAGAGTGAAGTAAGTAAGTGAAGAAAGAGAAAAACAAATATCGTAGATTAACACATATATGTGGAACCTAGAAAAATGGTACAGATGAACCAGTTTGCAGGGCAGAAATTGAGACACAGATGTAGAGAACAAACATATGGACACCAAAGGGGGGAAAGTGGCAGGGTTTGGGTGTGGGTGTGTGATGAATTGGGCGATTGGGATTGACATGTATACAGTGATGTGTATAAAATTGATGAGTAATAAGGACCTGCTGTATAAAAGAATAAAGTAAAATTCGAAAATTAAAAAAAAAATAACCCCAACGCTCACAATGACCCCAACTCCAGCCACACACTAAGCCCTGACACCTGGCACAGGGTGAGGTTTAACCCCAGTGGCAGACAAGCCCTAAATCTTAGTAGTCCCTGGACATTTGCTCAGGCCCTAAATTCTCCCATGAACCCAGTCCTTCATGTGGAAAATTAAACCTCTCTAGCCGTGCTACAGTTCCCAAACTTAGCCCTACTCTCCAAAACTTTCCCTACAAAAAACCCACTGGGTTTTCTAAAGATTCTTACTACTAGAATCTAGAGGCACAAGAAAACAGATGGACTAAACAGATGGGAAAGGCCCCCGAGTGGTCAGCTTGTTGATGCTGGAAGGTCCCTTAGAGAGCATCCCACCTCACTTCCTCATTTTACAGCCAGGCCCACAGAAGTTAATAAGTAACTTGCTCAAGGTCACACAGTAAGTCCACAGCAGAACCAGAATGGGAACCCAGGCCTCCTCTCAATCCAGTGCTCTCTCTGTCCTGCCTCCCTCAGAGAGAGTAGGGAGCATCACTCATCTGGTAAAACAGCTCCCAGAATTTCCTTTGGGAACCCACTTTTCCCCTGTTCTCTACCCAGGATTTTGGTCAAATCCAATCCACGCAGCACCAAGTATTCCCATGGCCCTGTGATCAGTTATGGGCTAGACTCAGGAGCCAGGTGAGGCAAGGCAAAATAATTAAAAAATAAAATAAAATTTATATGGTTAGTGTTTCTTATCACCCAGATCATTTAATTGACACAAAATGAATATGTGAACTCTCACACAGCAGAAATACATAATGTTTTAAGGACCAATAACTCAGGCCACAAATTAAATCAAATCCTTGGAAGTGATTCTAGGTTCCTTATTCTGCAAAACTTTAGATTCCCCTTTCTAGCCACTGAAGTTGACTGCCTAATGTAAATCACATTAACATCGAGCACTATATTTTTACTGTCTTTCCATTAAAACTGTACTTCTTGGCTCATTTTTTAAGATTAATTTTTATTGGAATATAGTTGATTTACAATGCTGTGTTAGTTTCTGCTGTACAGCAAAGTGAATCAGTTATACATATACATACATCGACTACTTTTTAGATTCTTTTCCCATATAGGTCATTACAGAGTATCGAGTAGAGTTCCCTGTGCTATACAGTAGGTTCTTATTAGTTATCTATTTTATATATAGTAGTGTGTATATGTCAATCACAATCTCCCAATTTATCCCTCCCCCCTTCCCCTTTGGTAACCATAAGTTTGTTTTCTACATCTGTGACTCTGTTTTGTAAATAAGTTCTTTTGTACCATCGTTTTTTTTATTAAAGTTAGAAAGGTAAATATTTAGCAATAACCCTATGCATATGTCTATGTGTTTACATTGGCTACACATGTACACATACATACATACACACACACATTTTTTTCCCTCCTGTGTTGGGGGGCATGGTATTTCCCTGTTAATTTATTAATACTGAAATGCACACTTCCCCATTGCCTTTGTATTTCCTTACACTCTATTGTTTATAAACTAACAACATAAATATTACTATGCCTTAGCGCATATGATCTGCAGATAAAGCTCTAGATGATTTTGATAGAAGTTTACATTTAATTACATTCAAAATTAACATAAAAGTTATTATGTAAATTACAAAAGCTAAAATGACAACATTTTACCTCCCATCTTGTTAATCAGAACTGAGATTATTGTTACAACATCAGTATCTGCAGAGAAAGTTGATTTTTACATAGGACATTTCAAAGGAGAGTCTTGGACAAACCCAATTTTAATCTCTCTGCTGGTTCCTATCTGAGAAAAATTCACTTTAACCGGTTTCAGGGGGAAAATAAAGACATGAAGGATGATTTTATCCACAACTAAATAAGAAAAGAACAGTGCTTGCCTTATTTTCCACTTCTTTGCATCTACACAATACACAACTGACCTAACATGAGGCACACTGGGTCATTAAGCCTTGATTCTGCTACTTATTAGTTTTATGGCCTAGTATAAATCATAATAACCTCTACAGGTCTCAGTAGACTTATCTATACAATGAAGGTATTATAGAATGCTATCTCTGAGGCTCCTTCCAGGTTTAAACAAAATCTACAATTCTATGAAAATATCTATAGAAATGATAATCAAAATAACAACATCGATGGGGATGTCTACTTTAGTCAGACCCTCCCTAAAATCTTAAGAACTCTCTTCTGTATAACTAGATCTTGTAAAATGAGAGACTAGGATTACAGGCCTTGCATAGAATGACCTAATAGCTAAGCAGTCTTTTAAACTAGTTAGAAATTTCCTGAAATAATTTACATGCAATCCTTTTTGAAAGCCAGGAAATAGATTTTTAAATGACCTCAGTTTATCCTTTTAGTTAAATGTTTTCTCGTTAGATCTCCTTTCTACCCTAAAGTTGAAGACAGTCTTATTTAATTCAGTGGATTCTATATTTAAATAATCCAGTTACTCATATACTGGTAATAAAAATTTCATCCATTACACTTAAAATGTGTAAATTTCATGGCATGCAAATTATGCCCCAATAAAGTTGTTAAAAAAAAACTTTATGGATAAGAATTTCTGGCAAGAAAATCTGGCCTGTATTTTGAACTGTTGCCGTTTTATTAATAATTGAATTTGCTTATTAACTTACCTAAATACATTTCTTTGATAGAAGATTTTCTCCTTTCATATTATTCTCTTTCCTTATAGTCTAAAAATGTAGCTTAATAAGTTAACATGGGTACTTACTTGGCAAGAATCTGCTTCTCCCTCTTCCATTGGCTCATCAACCATTTTAAGACCATTCACCTGAAAAATATTGTTCAAAAACTGAAGTTCAAGAGTAATAGAACAAGAGTAGTAACTAAGAAAAATATAACCCTAGGCACTGCCCTTCACAATTTAACAAGATCCACACTTACTGAAACACAAAAGGACAAAGGACACATAGAAGGTACTTAAAAAAGGAACATTATTAATATGATTTCCAGATTGTCTTTGAAAATCCTTGAATTTCAGAGCTGTGTATTTCATTTCATATTGTTTAGAGCTTTGCTATGGTGAATGAACATATACTGAACATATGACCTGTATACATTCACTAGGACTGTCCCAAACCAAATATATATGAGACAGGAAAAATACCACAGAGGAAATTTATTGTGAGAATATATTCAAAGCAAATTAGGATGGGAAGAATTTCATATAATTGCACTGTTGTGAATTCCTTTCCTTTCGATCAGTTCAATTAAAATTTGAGTTACTCTACAGAAGAAATAGTAAACTATAGGAGAAAAATATAAATGGCCATGGAAACAAAATTATTTCAAAATACAAAGCTTAGTGTATAATAATACTCTTCAAGCAATACTTCAGGAATGAGTAAGCATAGAGAACTTAGATCAAGGGTCTGCAGGCTGTAGCCCATGGGCCAAATCTGGCCCACTGTTTTTATAAATAATATTTTACTGGAACACAGACACATCCATTTGTTTCCATGTTATCTATGGCTGCTTTCTCACTTCAACAGCAGAGTTGAACAGGTGACAGAGAACCTATGCCTGCAAAGCCTAAAATATTTACTGTTTGGCCCTTTACAGAAAAAGTCTACCAACCACTGATCTAAAATGTTTGAAAATTAAGCAACAGCAAGATGGTCTATAAAATAAATTTTACCACTGTCTATTTATGAGTCCACAGAAAATTTTTTAAATATTAAAAAAGAAAGAGAGAAGAAAAAAGTAAATTAAATAGAGCTTCTGACGACAGCCAAGATGGAATAAGACTATCTCTCCTCTGATTATTAACTAAAAACTTTGGACAAAACACAAAAAGCAACTACCTGAGGACTCTGAAAACTAAATAATAGCAAGCAGATTAGGAAGGGAAATCAAAATTTGAATAGTAACTAGTACTCTGGTGAGTTTCTTGGGTTTATTTTTCACCTTTATCTCTTGATTTTGAACCAAGGAGACACTGAGTCATGGAACACCTGTATGAACAAAATTTCCAAGAGAAATCCCACTTTCTAAACAAAGGACCAGAAAAAGACACACTTTTGAGCTGGTGAGCATAATGAGAACCCTACGTTTTCTTTCTTTCCCACTTTTTTCCCCTTTTTTGACTGCCATTCCTGCTCCAAGGCAAGCCTCATTCATGAGAAAACCTCTCTCTCTGGTCAGAGGAACCAGAAAAAGAGGCTCATATAAGAAGAGTATGGGGGGTAATCCCTGTTGTTGTTTTTTTCACTCTCTCCTTCACTTCACCCCAACAGGCAGCCCCAACAGTGCAAAGCTATGTAACAGCATGAAAGGCTAAGACTATGCAAGAAATTCAAATTTCTGGTCAGAGGAAGAAGAATAAAAGGTCCATGTCAACTGGAGAATCCGTAGAGGAAATCATGGAGGAGATCAAATGGGAAAAGGATATTCCCTAATTCTGTGTATGAACAGACACAGTCCTGGCCTCAACAGCAAACTGCACATGTGTGGAATAGAACCAAAGAAGTCTAAAAAAGGCTTTGAAAATGGAACTGCAATATCAATCACTGCTCAAGTCTCAGACTAAACCACTGACTTAGCACAGGCACTAAGTGGCAAATGCAGGGTTCTGACCCAAACACTCTGAAAACATATTTAACATTGGAACCAACATCCAAAAGGGAGAGATAAAACTTGGGAGTCTGAACCTAACCACACAGACTGTCTGATGAAACAATCAAAATCAGCAGGTATCAATTCCAGGACAACTCCAATGTTGAAATAGCTAACAAGGACTTTAAGCAGCTATTATAACTATGCTCTTTTGGGTGAAAATAAATACACTTGAATGGGAAGATTAAAAGTTATAGACAGAGAAAAAGAAATTATAAAAAAACAAATGTAAATAACTTTAAAACTAAAAATTACAATGTATGAAATATTTTTAAAATGCTGGATGGGCTCAGTAAAAGAATGGAGATGGCAGAGGAAATCATAAATGAAGACAGATCAATAGAAATTAACCACTATGAAGAAGAGAATGAAAATTATTAAAAGCAAATGAACAGAGTCTTAGAGACATGTGGAACAATATCAGAAGATCTAAAATCTATATCATTAACATCACAGAAAAAATTAAATAAATAATGGCAATTCAATTCACATAAAATGTTAAGAGGAAAGTCTGTAGAGACAGAAGGTAAATCAGTGGTTCCTTAGGGCTGGGGGATGGGGAGATGGGGTGATAGCTAAAACTATAGTAAAAGCTTTCTATTTGATGTGACAAAGAAGTTCTAAAATTGACTGTGGTGATAGTTGTACATATTTGTGAACTGTATACTAAGTATACACAAGGTTGTCCATTTTAAATGCGTGAATTATGTGGTATGTGAATTATGCTTCAATAAAGCTATTTTTTTAAAAAAAGGCTGAGAATTTCCCAAATTTGGTGAAAACTATAAATTTACAGTTTTAAGAAGCTCAGTGAAACCCAAAAAGTATAAAATTAAAGAAAGCCACCTCAAGACATACCTGAATTAAACTACTCTAAATCAAAAGAAAAAAGGAAGAAATTTTGAAAGTAATGAGAGAAAAACACATTACACAGACATCAACTTAAATAACTGCAGACTTCTTATGAGAAATCATGGAGGTCAGAAACCAGTAAGAGAATATTTACCTGAGATAAATGGAAACTTATGTTAACATAAAAATCTCTATACATGAATGTGTATAGCAGCTTTGTTCATAACTTTTTTGGAAACATTCCAGATGTCCTTCAAAGTGGAGAAAGAATAGAATACTACTCAATAAAAAGGAAAAGACTATTGATACTTGTAACAACATGGATAAATTTTAAATGCATTGTGCTGACAAAGAATCCAAACCCAAAAGGCTAAATATTGTATGATTACATGTATATGACACTGAAAAATGCTATAGGGAAAGAATTCATATCACTGGTTTCCAGGGGAAGGGGAGACAGGAAGACGGAATACTATCCAGCAATGAAAAGGAATTATCTATTGATATATTCAACAACATGGGTGAATCTCAAATACATTATATAGTAAATGGGAAAAAACAGCCTCAAAAGGCTACGTACTGTATGATTCCATTTATAGGACATTCTTGAAAAGGTAAAACTATAAGGCATGGAGAATGGATTAGCAGTTGTCAGGTTAGGCCCAGGGGTAGGCACCAATGGGAATCACGGGGGGTGGCGGGGGGGAATGATGGGACTAATCTATACCTTGATTGTGGTGGTGGTTACACAACTCTACGTATTTGTCCAAGCTCAGAACCTTATGTGAAAAAGAGTGAATTTTACTGTAGGTAAATTTTAAAATTAACTTATTAAATAGTAATTTACCCTGCATTATTTACTTGGCTAGCATCTTTCTTCTAAAATCTCAACAAGAACCAAATAAATGATGGTTCATCACCAATTATGTCCTTATCTTACTTGACCTTGCTGTAGCATGTCACAGTTGACCAACCACTGTCTTCTATTTGTGTTTTTGTGATACCATACTTTAATTTTCTTTTACTCCAATTTCTTTGCTCTTTTCAGTATCCTTGAAACATTGTAGATCCTCAGGAAATGGACTTGGCTCACCTTCTCATCTCGCTCCTCATTCTTTCCCCAGATAGCTAATTTACTGACATGACTAACATTTACTCAGACACTACTCTTTTGAGATCCTGATCCATATAACGAACTGCCTATTTGACATTTCCACTTGCTCATCTCACATGTCTCAAAAATAACCAATACAAAAACAAATTAGTGATCTCCCCCCCACACACACATAAATCTGCTTTCCTCCAGGGTTCCCGATTTCAATAAACAGCACCACTATTTATCATCTTAACTCAAAAGCACATATAGACTATGGGGAATGAAAAAAAAATACGGTAATGAATTCATCACTAGCGTATAGGAAAAGGCACATTCAGCAAGAGAGTCCACAAACCAATATTAAGACAGAATACTGATAATTTCAGAATACTGAAATTTTACTACAAAATGGCTCTCAGGACTATCTGTAGAAAAAGGTAATACTGCTTTCCTCTGTTACCTCAGTTACTGGTTACTTCCAATTCATACCATCTTACGATTAATTTAGCATGAAGCATAAGAATATTCATTCCTATAAAGGACCTCAGTATTCAGTGATATTTACTATAAATTAAGTCATTTTTACCAGCATGAAAATAAAAACATTTTCAGAATTCTCTGGGACGATAAACCTTTATTTCAAAAATAAAATTTATAATTTGAAAAAACAAGCAGATAGGCTGTTTTCCCCAACTAAGTGCCAAATAGGGAAGAAAAAAATTCCTACATAAGATTCTGAAAAGCTTATCAACAATTATAAAGATAGTAATAATTTACTCAAATACTCAAACCCAAGTGAACACCCTCTCATATCAGAGCCTAGTGGAGAATTCTTTTAAATTATTTTCATCCTCTCAGAAAATAATTAAATAGATCACTTTAAAAGATTCTGGACAAATAGAAATACTAAACTGAGTCAAAGTACTCACCTGATCTCAGAAAATCATATAGGTCACCCCAAAACTATCATTTTCTTACTGCTAATGACAAAAGCAGCTCATCATGGAAAATTAAACTGAGAAAAAATATTTTCCCTTCAGATCCTTAGAATTGGAGGTGGTGTGGGAAATGAACACATAAGTGCACAGAGTTTTGTAAAAAGACTGCAATCTGGCCATGCTAACACTATTAAGCATACATCTGTTTCTCAGTGTCAGACTCAAGAAGCTCATGACTTGGTGTTGACAGGTATACTGAAGAAAGAAGTA